AAATAAAAAAAAAAAAAAAAATTACTGGATTGGTGCTTGTGATATATTTCATACTCTTTTTCATCCAAAATCTTGATATGTGTGCTCCTTCATGTGGCCAAGAATAATTGCGTAATAGTTGCCTTTATTAATTTATTAATTATCAATTGATAAATGCAGGTGGTATACTTTACATTCATGTCCCTTACCTAATTTTTAACAAAATGTGTAAATTTGCTAGGGAAACCTGAGAAGGAGCTTGAGATGGTACTCAAGAGAACATTGCAAAATATATGCCTTCTCAACGTTCATCCAAACACCACAACATCAATTATAGTTCAGGTGAGGCTGAATAAATTCGTGTTGTGATCCCCTTCTTCATGTGTCACAGTGAATTCACCGTATGGTTGAAAGAAATATTCTTGGGTGATAGTTGCTAAATGAATTCGGATAAGAACTCAGCAACTGCGAGGAATGTGTTAAAATCTTAATTATTCCATTAATACATGAGGTTTCTTCTGCTTGATTGATTTTGCTGTCGTGGTGTGGTGTGGCCACGTTTTTGTGCTTTGAGAATGAACATGTCAAAACTTCTTTTCTCTGGCCATTCTTCATAAGATCATAAAAATTTTTTCTTTCTAGAGATTTCATAAGATAATGTAAACCTGTCTTATCGGGTATATATGATTTTTCTTTGCTGCAGGTTGTCCATGATGATGGCTCTGTATCCTTTGTAGTCACGTTTGTAACTTTATGGTTTTACTTACATTTGAATAGCATCATTACAAAAAAAGTTATAGAGATGCTCAATGCTCGGCATTAGAAATTTACCTCGTATAATATCTTCCTTCTTTGAAAAGATTATATTGTAAACTTCTATAACCAATAGTATTACCAATAGGAGCATAAGTAGCTAATACATAAGAAGAACCTAAAAGTAGGCAGGCTTTGAACAAGCAGATAAGACTAAGTTCAACATATTCTCGCATGTGGAGGTTCTTCCCGGTGTGAGCCCCCAAACGCATTTCAAGTAATTGTAGTAAAACTTGACCTGTTAAGCTTCTGCCATGTGCTATACATGCTGCTTGTGCTGCTCTTGTAGATGCTGGAATCCCTTTGAAATACCTTGCAGGTAAAAAAGGAAATATAAAACCTTTATATTGTGAGTAATGAACTAATGTTATTATAACCTTACAACACGTGCAGTCGCCATATCCTGTTGCATAGCAGAAAATGGACAGATTATATTAGACCCTAGCAAGCTAGAAGAGCAGGTAATTTATCTTCTTACCCCTTTTATGACATTGTCTTCTAACAAATTTATGTCATGTGAGTCCATTTTGCCTGTGCATTGTGTATTTCATGTCTCGTACATTCGGTTTTGTTGTTTGTGGCATTAATCTTCTGGTGTGTAATGTGTGTGTCTGTTGAGGCAGAAAATGAAAGCGTTTGTGTGCTTAGCTTTCCCTGGTTCAGCTCGATCCGTTGTACATGAAGGGTCAGCGAATGGAATTATCACATCTGTTACGCGTGGTGTAATGGCAGGTTAAGTATCTTACTTTTGTAGTATTTTTCTTACTAACCTGTGATTTTATTATGTTTTGACTATGCAAACAAAGGTTTGAGGTTTTGGTGGTTGATTAGTTTCCAGATAAATAACTTTCCCACTTTTTTGGGTCTTAAGCTTTTGAGAACTCTAAAAACATTCACAATGCATTGGGTACAATTTTATGGCATATAAATCTAATGAAGTGTCATCGTACAAACCCAAGTAAAACAAAATCTCAAAAGCTATCCAGTGCAAAAATAAATAAATAGGTCTAGAAAACCTATCAACCAATAAAAATGCTCTAATATGTTTACGCTATTAAAAAAAATTAAGGGTGTGTTTGTTTATAAATAAATCCTCTCAAAATGCATTTTTTTTGTTAACCACAGTTAATTTGGAAAAAAGTGGTATGGTTAGTTGTTAGTGAGATTTTGAGTTTATATTAAAATAAATTTTAAAATAAAAAAAAAAAATTAAAGTTGATTTGATGTAAAGTATGACATAGATGATATGAGGTGATGGTTAGTTAAAATTATGTGAGTGGATGATATTGAATTAAAGTTGATGAGATGTAAAAAAAATGATTGATTGTTATTATTTGATAATATTGATGATAGTGTAGTTGAGTTAAAATTGAGTTAGATTTTGAGTATGAACTGATTTGAGTAATTTTGTTTACAAACACACCCTAAATTAGGAATAAATGTTTGACTGCTCATGTTTGTACTTGGGTCTAAAATAGGCTCAAGAGTGGATTTTGTCTCATTTTTTGATTGCCACATAATTTATACTATGTCAATTTTTAATTGCATTGGGAAACATTTTTTCATACGCTAAGTCTATTTTTTACCTGTCATATATGATATTTTTTGCTAAGTCTATTTTTTACCTGTCATATATGATATTTTTTTTAAAAGAACCGATTGAGATGTTTATTATGGTGTTTCTTTATTAATCTTTCAGCACCTTGCTATTGATTTTTATTAGGTAAAACTAATGTTGCCAATTTGTTTTTACAGTGGATGATTATTTACAGTGCATAGAACAAGGACGATCAGCAATTACACCGCTGTCAAATATTCTTAAGAAGAAATTGCAATCACAAGCAACTGAGTGACGTTAAGATAATTTTCTACTTTAGTACGGTGAGCAAATTATGCAATGAGGGTCGAGCGTTAATGAGTTTTACGTTTTAACATTTTTATGATGAAGATGCCATTGTATGATGGGTTACCGTTGTACCCAGTTTAGTTGATGCGTTCGCAGTTTATATGCTTTTTCTCCAATGAAATAGGTAGCAATTTCTGCTTTTCATTGGAAAATTTCAGAAACATGATAGTGTTCATTTTAAAGGGTCACAACAGTCGTACATCAAATATATATATATATATATATATATATATATATTTTAAAGGCATTAGGGCAATATTCTAAGGTGAAAACGTAAAATAGTGAGTTGTATTCTTGTTATGTCAATTGCCATGTCTTTTATACGTTTTCGTGTTTGTTTGTGCTTAGTTATTGATTTTAATTGATCCTACATTTGAGTTCGTTGGCTAGAATTGATGGTCTTTTTAAGTTTTATTGCAGTTGATATAGATTAAATCCTATGCTCGTCTCTTGGACTGTCTGTTGATTAAAGAAATAATTAATCAGATCCTGATTATTGAGCAAGAATAGGTTATTAAGTCGTACCAATAACCATAACCAATTTAAATGAGAGTAGGAGAATTGTATTTGCATTTGTCATTGAACTATTTCTACGAATTTTTCTTTTAGTTGGATATTTTATCTCCTTTATTTACTCTAGTTGAATATTGAATCTTTCCACTTCTTGTTTATTTTAATTGAATTTAATTTTTATTATTTTAGGTAGTTTCAACATATCAATCCCCCCCCCCCC